CTCTTGACAGATGAGGAATTCAGGGACTTGGGGGGGGGGGAATTAACGACCAAAGGATGAGACCTAGTCACTCATTACCTGAGTCTGCGTCCATTCAAAACCCTCCTCAGACTCAGAAGTGTACTGTAAGTCTGCAACAGAGGCCACAGAAACTGACAATCAGGACAAAATATCCAGGCTGGCCAGGTCTGGTATAAATGCCAAGTGAAATCGAGCCATGGTTACCTGGTGCACGAGTACCAATAGCCATGCTCAAAGTACTGAGAGGAAGGCCTGGGTAATTCACTTTGGAGAAAGGAGGAACTTGGGGGACAGAACACACAACCTTTACATATCCCTTAACTATGAGAGACAGAGTACATGGTATGAATTCACAGTTAGTAATGTTTGCAGTAGTCCCACTGAAGTCAGTGGGGCATAACACAACTAGACACTAAGTTTGCATTGGCCTTTTAAGGCACATACAAGGCAGGGGAAAATAAATTAAGCCTCAAGGCAAAAATAGGGTCCTTTCTAGCACAGTACCACACAAGGTACACCGTTCTCACAGAAGAATGCCACTGGTCTTAACAAAAAAGGGAAGTGCTTTGGATTACACACTCCTTTGGCACCCACACCTTAGAACTGTTTGAACAACTTCCTAAGCTGTAAAATCTTGTATGAAACATTTGCTAGATAAACATATTGAACAGCCAGCTCTGTCCAACAAGCATTCACATGTCCAAAGACACCTGTTTGCATACAGACCAAGGGCACCTTGCCATGCAGTGTGTGCAATGATGTTCAGAAAGCATTAAAAAAAGGAATCAAACACCCAACAGAGTCTGTGTAGTAGCTTTAAGTTTCCTGCACAGGATAGATTTTCTTGTATGTTTCAGTATGCCTGTATGTTTAAAAGCTTAATTTCTGTGTTGGGGGGGCATTCAAAGAGAGAGCTTATAGAGCAGCTTTTAAAAATGACTTCTCAAATCTCTTGGGCTGTAGAGCCCTTGAAAAGCAGGGCAAAAACCACCAGGAAATTTTACAATTTCTTCTTTTCTATTATGACAAGATTTGTCATCTCAAAGAAAAGAAAAGAAAAAGAAGAAGAAACCGTATGTCCTAGTAGATTTTTCTACTTTAGAGGCAATGAGAACCAACGTACATTTCATTAGCTAATTTTAAAACTATTATTTTTAAATTAAATTAAAATTAAGCATTTTATACGTTTTCAAATAATGATACTAAAGAGGAAACAAGTGGTGAACTGATCATGTTTTTTATGTTGGCAGCTATGTGGTCCAAACACCCATCCTACAAGCTGATCATCAGCACTGAAGTCCAACATGACCACCTTCCTTGACATAATGAATATTTGCAGGCTTGTTCACTTCCATTCACTTTCTAGTTGGCACTGTTTGCAGAGTTAGTTACACTGAGAGCAACCTGTAGATTTAGCCCCTGAAAATCAGACTAGTTAGCAGAGAATATTTCTTATTTTGAAAAGACGTTTGAGGAAAATAAGAAAGCTAAGGAAATATGTTAAGACAGGAAAGCTAATAGGACTACTAAGCAAAGGTAAAGGTTCCCCTTGACATTTTAGTCAGTCGTGTTCGACTCTAGGGGGTGGTGCTCACCCCCGTTTCCAAGCCGTAGAGCCAGAGTTTGTCCAAAGACAGTTTCCATTGTTGTTTACTTTCCCACTGTAGTAGTACCTATTTATCTAATCGCATTTACATGCTTTCGAACTGCTAGGTTGGTGAGGAGCTGGGACAAAGTGACGGGAGCTCACTCCTTCGCGTGGATTCAATCTTATGACTGCTGGTCTTCTGACCCTGCAGCACACAAAGGCTTCGGCGGTTTAGCCCGCAGCGCCACCACGTCCCACCCAATAGGACTACTAGTCATAGCTAATTAAGACAGAGATGCAGGGAGCAATGGCTGGCCCCTTACCTCTCGAATACAAAGACAGGATGTCTCCTCTGTCCTCTCCCAGAGATGGTCAAGAGAGAAATGGGGGGGGGGGGAGAGGAAGGAAATGACATCTCAATATCAGTCTAAGTTGAAAGGAAGCCAGCACAGGTCAAAATAAATAAAGCTTAGTCTAGGCAACTCTCCTTGTGTTGTGCTGCTCAGGATAATGGTGGTGCACTGGCAGAGACAAGTTTGGCTTGCTCCCAGAAGGACCCCATCTTCCATCCTCTTTTTTTCCAGCACAACCAGACCCTGTTAGATAAGCAAACTGAGTAGAAGTAGGACATCATTTGTAAGGGACTGGCAACAGCTTCTACTGAGAGAGAATGGGGATGGATTTGGAAGCAGCTGGGCTATAGAATCCTGGGAGCTGCCACCTCTTTTTCCATGGTCTTAATTGCTATATGATTCCTATGAATGAGTTAAGCCAGGAACTAGGCGTGAGGTGTCACAATTATGCAGCTCTGCTTTTCTTTCTCATCTGATTAAGGTGAGGCACAGGAGCTGCTATCAGTGCCCAGGATCAGTAATGGACTCCAGAAGGACTAGCGACACTGAAACTCAGCTATGGCAAAATGGAAATACTGTTGGTGGGCGGCCAATCTTCCCAGGGAAGTTAACATTCAGCTTGTTCTAAACAGTGTTACACTCTTCTTTTAAAAAACAGGCTTGCAGTCTAGGATTGTCCCAACAGCATTAGGAGACATATAAATGATTTGCCAACTGAGGTGCAACCAGACGAGCATTTGCTCCATAATTTGGTCCGGGTTGGGGACAGGCCAGTTTGCTCCTTTTCCCAGAGGCCACACAACATACATGCTATCATGAGCTAGTCTGTCCCCTGCCCCCTTTTTAGGGTCCCTGTCAGGGGCTAGTGATTTTTTTTGCTGCAGATAGGATCCCCACATTTTGTTTTGGTTGGTGGGATCAAACCAGAGCAGAAGACACAAGCTGTCTCTGCTTAAGCCACTTAGTGATCTTGAAAAATGCAAAGCTTTCTTCCCCCTCCACTGCAAAAGCTAAGTGAGTGGAAGTTTTCCATTTCTTTTTCATTGTTGCTAGCACATCAGTGAGCTTTGAAAAAAACCCTTTCAATGCATTGCTGATGGGCTGCATCAGTTAGCAAACATTAAAAAGAAATAGAAAGGTTTGTCTCCCTTCTCCTCTAGAGTGTGGGAGGAACTGGAAGAAAACTTCCACTTTCTCAAGACCACTGAGCACTTTAAAACAAGCATGGAGGAGGAGAAAGGATGGTCCCCCCTTTTCCTTTAAGGGAGGGAGATAATATTGGTCTTCAGTGTGCTAAACAGGGTCTAGAATGATTTGGGCTAGGATAACTGGGCTGTCTAGTTGCAGATTTTTCTTTTTTGGCAGAGTATTTGTCATATTTTTATGGCAGATATTTTTTACCCCGCCTTTCTTTTTAAAAAAGTCCCAAGGCGGCTTACATAATTAAAAGACAATACTGTACGTAAAAACTAAAAAACAGTAAGTATACAAATATTAAAAAGAAACAAACAAACACCACACTAAGAACGGTAAACAAAATCCATATCAAAGGCAGATTCAAAGCAATAAGGAATGATACTCCATTTAAAAATCCCTCCCAGACAACCAGTCACAGAGAAACCATTCTTTGTCTGTTGCAGAAGGAAAGGAAAGCTGGGACCAGTCTCTCTCTCTCTCTCTCTCTGTCTCTCTCTCTCTCTCTCTCTCTCTCTGTCTCTCTCTCTCTGTGTGTGTGTGTGTGTGTGTGTGTGTGTAGGATTCCAGAGTCTGCAATGACAGAGAAGGCCCTCTCTCATGTCACCAAGAGAAAGGCATCGACTGATTATCTTAACAACCAGGCAGCACAAGGTCCTTGAATCAGATTATTTCATGAACCTGGCATACAATGGATACCCCATGAAAAGTATGGGGAGGCTGCATGTGTTTTCTCCCAACAGGAATCCAGGCCATAGTTAGAACCACAAATCACAAACATCTAGAATCACAAGTTATAAATGCTTTCTGATGTCCATTTAAAGTAATACAAACAAAAAGCAGTAGAAAATAAATTTAAAACATGTTTATTGCCCAAAGGCTTGTACAAACAGATACATGCTTAACCGATGCCCAAAGGCCAGGAATGTAAGAAACAACTAGATCTGTAGTGGACTGAAGTTCCATAAATGGAGCGCCAATCAGTTCTATGGTGCGCAGAGAAGAAGATGCTTACACCTCTACCATTTCCTGAAACCATGTCCAGGAAGTAAAATATGAACATAGTGTAGATCCTGGCAGAAAAGTGATCCCCTAACAATACTGAGTCCCAGCGTATGAAGGTTGCCATTTACTGTTTAGTCCCCCCCACCCCGCACACACACAAATAACCTTTTTTTAAAGGCACTGTTCAGGAATCCATTGAAAAACCAATGTCTTGCCACAAATTAATCCATCACCACTTCCTTGAATCTAACATCATTTGTGCTTAGACTACTCTCTCTTTTTTGTATTTATAACAACTTCTTTCCTTTGTTCTCATCACAGCTATTATTTTCAGACCTATTATTGCTAATCTCTTCTTTGTAAATAGCCACACCTGTTTTAATCCGAAACAGTATGGTAAACACTGGCTTCTTTGAGGAAGTACATGCATAATTAGGTTAATCAGTGCTATCTTTTCATGTGAGCTGATTGTTTCTTTACTGTGGACATATTTCATAACAGTGTAGCAAGCTTGCCAAATGGCTCAAGGGTAAATTAGGTGCAACTTACCAAGCATGTAGCTACTGAGCTGATACTGAAACCTTGACATAATGGTAAGCTCCAGGGAGCCACTCCTACTAGCCATTTATTACTCATTTCTTCCCTCCTGCCCTGCCCCCTCTCGCTCTCCAATTTTTGGCTACACCCTCTTTAGACAAGTACTTACATTAAGCCCAGCTGAAAAGTTGACAAAATGTCAACATATGCTTCTTTAGAACTTCAGTCATCCAAGTTAAATTCTGCACCATCTAGAAAAATGCAAATTCCACCACCACCACCACCCAAATCCTCCAGATTACCTGCACAAAGTCCAGAAATGTTAATGGAAGCAAATCATCCAGGTGGCCAATGTCTTTGGAGAAACGATTTAGAATTCTACCTATATATATAAAAAAAGAGAGTGCAATTTCAGAGCAAATTTATATTTTACGAGTTTTGTGATTCTGCTCCCCAGGTAAACAAAAAGAAACATGCAATACAGTCTAAATGATATTTAGCTAGAAGCCTATTCCATTCTGGATGTTCTCCTGGTGAAGTGTGCCCAGACTTGCGGCACTGAATGCAATTTTATTGTAACTCAGATCAACAACCCAACTGAGTTAAAAAATGCACCTGGTTTATCAAGCTGAAATTTAAATATGTTTAGGGTCAATTATTTAAACAAGCTTTGCAGCATGGAAGGATCACTTCTTCGCTTATTCATACTGACTTCTAAAACACGACAGATTTCATGATGGCTTTCACAGGAGGCTGCATTAGTAAGAACAGAAAAATGAATGCCATGGCTCTTTGAAATAACTCTGTTTATGCTTGCTTGACACAACAACTTCTTAAAACAGTCAGAGAGATGACAATGTTGATCACAGGCACCATAAGTGAATTTCTTTTATTAGTGAAGTAGTTTATTTACCTTCCAATTTTAGGGATGAGTAATACACAGGTCACAAGCAGTGCTCCCAACCATATTCGTGATCTCTGGAGGTGCCCAAAACTTGGTGCACCAGTAGCAAAGAAAAGTCATTTCTGCATCCGAACAAGGAACACAGGAAACAGTTCCAGAGGAGAATCAGACTCCTGGAAGATACTTTTGTGTCTTCTTTAAAACAAGGTGTACCCTCTCCATATGCCTTGTTCTAACATAAAACTAGACCTCAGAGCAACCGGAAATGTAGTTTTTCAACTTTTGGTTGTGGCTCTGCATCACATTCCAGCAGCATGAGATGAGGGTTTGGCCACAACAATATGCAATTCGTGGCCAAAAATTATATACAGTGGTGCCTCGCACAACGATGTTAATTGGTTCAAAAAAAAAAACCCGTTCTGTGAAAACATCGTTCTGTGAAACACCATTTCCCATAGGAATGCATTGAAAACTGGTTAATCCATTCCAATTGGAACGGACTGCCATCCTTAAGTGAAAATTGGCATAGGAAACATCGTTGAGGGAAACGCGGTTCCCCAATTGAAATGCATTGAAGCCGACTCAATGCATTTGAATGGGTTTGCGAAGTCCCTTTTCGCTCCTGTAAAAGTGTCTTAAACTGTTTGAAACCTGTTTTAAATGCTTGCAATCGTTATCCCACCTCCTGGGCTTTCAATGGAGAATAAAAAAATTCACCAAAAATTAACGAAGACTCAGAACAACACCAAATTAAGTTTGCATAGATTTCAGGAGGTGGGATAACGATTGCAAGCATTTAAAACAGGTTTCAAACAGTTTAAGGCACTTTTAAATGAGTGAAAAGAGACATCGTTGTGCGAAAATTCCCCATAGGAAACAACGTTGTGTGAGGCGGCATATTTTTCAGAAAAAGCCATCGTTATGTGAATTTATCGTTGCGTGAGGCACTCGTTGTGCAAGGCACCACTGTATTACTCTTTGAAAATGATACAATTTAGCAGTAGCATTTTATACTGCGGAAAGCTGTACAAAGCTAGCAAGATCTTCTTCTCAATCGTCTTTTGAAGAATCCAAGACAGCAACCAGCAAGCCTGATGTTTCACAGCACAACAACTTAAGAAAATCCCAATAACCAGAACTGCGTTCTGAGAGATCAGTGCATAAGAGATGAGGCTGAGGTCACGGCTTGCTATTCAATCTCAAGTGATGCAATATCAACTCCATGCAAACTGCAGTGTTAATCAGAAGATTTGGAGTTTCGGTGCAGTATTATTTGCCATTGCCCAATATCTTGTTCATTTGTTTTTTTAGAAAAAAAGAGAGAACTGTAAACTGCTTTTCTAAACATAGCTACATCACTATCATCACTATCAAGTGAGAGCAAACTGCAAAATATCCATATCCACTTTTTAACATCTCTGTAGCTCAATAGTTTAGGTATCTAGCTGTGGAGCCAGAGGTTGGGAATTTGATCCTCCACTGTGCCCCTTGGGAGAAGAGCCAACCTATGTGGACTTGGGCAAGCTGCACAGTCCCAAGGCAGCCCCAGAAGAAGGGAATGGTATACCACTACTGTATACAGTGGTGCCTCACTTAGTGATGTTAATCCATTCCCAAAAAAAACGCTGAGCGATATTTAAAAGCCCATAGAAACGCATTAAAACACAATTAATGTGTTCCTATGGGCTAAAAACTAACCTTTAAGCGAAGATCCTCCATAGGGACAGCCATTTTCGGTGCCTCTAAAGCGAGGAAACACAGTGGGTGGCCATTTTGTTTTCCCGGTGGCCATTTTGAAACCACCAAGCAGCTGTTTAAAAGGGTCGCTTGGCCATGATCGCTTCCCCACGATCATCGCAAAATGAAAAAACCCCATAGGGACCATCACAAAGCGATCGCAAAAACTCCATTGCTAAGCGATTTTGTTGCTCAACGGAGCGATCGCTGAGCGAGGCACCACTGTATTCTGTATCTAGAAAACCTTGAAAAGGGTTGCCATAAGTTAGAATTGACTTGACGGCACATTGTTATTATTATACAATGGTGCCTCGCTTAGCGTTGTTAATCCATTCCCGAAAAAATGTTGTTAAGCGATTTCATCACTAAACGGAATTAAAAAGCCCACAGAAACGCATTAAAACGCCATTAATGTGTTCCTATGGGCTTCAAAACTAACCTTAAAGCCAAGATCCTCCATAGGGGCAGCCATTTTCAGTGCCTCTAAAGTGAGGACACACAGCGGAGTGGCCATTTTGTTTACCCGATAGCCATTTTGAAACCACCGATCAGCTGGCCGAAAATGGGGGCTTTGTGATGATCACTTCCCTGCGATCATCGCAAAGTGAATTTTCCCCATAGGGACCATCGCTAAGCGATCGCTTTTGCAATCACTTAAACTCCATCACTAAGCTATTTCATCGCTCAACGGAACGATCGTTAAGCAAGGCACCACTGTATTAGACAGACAGTTAGTGCATGATACACTTCTTTAACTACCTCCTGAAGTATCACTGTAAAATATTAACATTCAGCTGAAACATGTTTATAGGATAGCATGGGCACTAAGTACTTCATACCCCTTCGTCCTACGTCAGCAGAGTGCTACATGTTCCTCTCCCTCACCCTGTTGCTGGCACCTCCACTCACTAGCTCCTGTGTACTGCTCTGTCCCTCCCTGTCTTGTGATCTTCCAGCCTGGGCAGGAGACCTGATTTCCCTTCTCCACCTCCTCAAGCAGCAGGCCACTCAAGTGAGGTGGGGTAGGGATTCCTGCAGCACTTCCTTTGAGTGGCCATCTACTGGAGGAGGTGGAGAAGAGAAGTCCAGGCTCTTGTTCAGACTGGAAGATCACAAGATGGGGAGGGATGGAGCAGCACGTGCCAGTGAGGAGGGCGGGGGGAACGTGGAGCAGCACAGCTGCCACACCAACAACTTAAGACAAAGGGGTGCAAAGTACTTTGTGCCTATCTCTACTATAGGAGCCTCGTAGCGCAGTGGTTAAATTGCAGTATAGCAATTAAGGCTCTGCTTACCACCTGAGTTCAATCCAATCCTGAACAGGCTCAGGTAGCAGGCTCAAGGTTGACTCAGCCTTCCATCATTCTGAGATTGGTAAATTGAGTACTCAGCTTTCTGATTCGGGGGAAGAGAGGCAATTTGTAGCCTGCAGAATTAAACTGTAAATTTCCCAGAGAGTGCTTTAAACACTATGGGGCAATATATAAATAGCACACATTATATCAGTGATATAGGGTGGCAAAACAAGGTACCCTTCCATTTTTAGAGTCATCTATTTTTTTTAAAGTTTATTGGCAATCTACTGGATTTGCATGATGGTTCAAATTAGGATCTCATAATCATGAGATCTCAGATTGGAGCTGCAGTTTTTTTCAACGACTATCTCTAGGACGCACACAGGTTATCTTTAGGTATGCTAATATTATCTTTCAGTATGTCAAATTCCACGTTAACAGGTTTTAAGTGCCTTCTTTTTGTTTGCAGATTATCTAAATAATGACATAGAATCAAATACACTGGTGCCTTAACTTACGAACACCCTGACATACAAACGTTTTGAGTTATGAACAGCCTCGGATGCGAAATATTTCTTTGAGTTACGAACCGTGCCTTGACTTACAAACGGAAAAAAAACGCCTGCCCTTTTTTTGACCCAAGTTCACCTTAGGTCAAAAGAAGAAAAAAAATTAAAAAATTCTCCCCCTAGTGGTAGAGTACGGATTAACCAGCTTTACATTATTTCCTATGGGAACTAATGCTTTGACTTAAGAACCATGCCTTGACATAAGGACAAAAAACAGCCAGAATGGATTAATCATTTTTCAGTGCATTCCTATGGGAAATGCTGCTTTGACTTAAGAATGTTTTGACTTACAGCCACTGTTCCAATGCGGATTAAGTTCTTAAATCAAGTCACCACTATAGTACCGAATTCTTATCATTTAAAATATGTATAAGAATTCCAAGAAAAATAAATTTCTGAGTAAATAACTGAACATTCAGAATGCTCCCTCAAAAATCTCTACCAGTACTGTGTAGCTAACCCTAGACAGAAGACAGCAGAAAAAGAGGAAAATCAAATATGAGATGGACTGACTCAGCAAAGGAAGCAGTGGCCTTCAGCATGCAGGACCTAAGCAGAGTTAATGACAGGAGCTTTGGAAGATCATTAACTCATCGAAAGTGACTTGATGGCGTAACAAGAGCAAAAATGTCCATGTAGCCTGATAGATGAATGATTACACGACATTGTACAAAATAACCTTTAGATAAAGGACTGCCTCTTTTTGGGTAGAGATGAGAGTGAGGTTAAACATTTATGCTTCTGTTTCAGGGAATGCAGAATTGGGAAACATTTTTGTTGGGTGCCAAATGCATGATTGAAATGGTCAGTGCTAACTGCTTTTCTAACTCTCTTCCTTTTTGCTGATTGGTCTTTTACTCCCCACCCAGCAGTATGC